GACACCTACCTTTCTTTCTTTGACTCCTATCTACATCTTCGTCATGTATGATCTATTATATCGATTTCATCTTCAGTTCATACATACATAAGATCTTTTGTATCAATTTGCATGTTCTTTGTTTTTAGACATCTAGCAAATAGAACAGAAAATCATATCATATATCAATTGAGTAATACAGGAACTACCCACGTTTTGTGGTATCACTAATTTACAGAATTAGGATCATATTTGAAAAGGGCTGGTAGTTCCTATATTACTCAATTAGGAAGATTATTTAATTTTTGACTATGGGTAAGTGATAAAATGATATAATATCTATTGAATTGCTTGTGTGGCTGATGCTCATTCTCCCTTGAAAATATAATAAAAAAAAATCTCAATTAAAAATTATTCAAGTTGTCTTAGGTATATCCATTTTTACTAGGTGTCATCTATCTCGTAGTTGTTCTAGTTGTACCAGTTGTACTAGTTGTCTTCTTATCTCTTAGTTGTACCATTTGTACCAGTTGTTTTCTGGAAATTTGGTGATGAACTCAGGTTTAATTATAATTTATCTAAGATTTACTACGATTCAACGACTATATTATGAATTTTTTCATGCAAATACCTAATCGTCATATAAAACTGGGTTACAACCCGATTTGCAATTATAATCAAAGAATTTTTAATCAGGAATTATTTAAATTGTCTTAGTTATACCTAATTGTATCAGTTGTCCTCTATCTCATAGTTGTACCAGTTGTGCTAGTTGTCCTCTTATCTCTTAGTTGTACCATTCGTACCAGTTGTCCTTCTCTGCAGATTTGGTGATGAACTCGGATTTTAATTCCAGTCTACCTAAGAATCACTATGATTCAACAATGCAAAGACCTAATCGTCACATAAATTGAGTTACCAACCTGAATTGTATACCAAACAAGTAATTTTGGCAAATCCAATCTCTAAATTGTGAAATCCCTAAATCTTCAAATAAAAACCTAATTAGGTTTTGAAGCTTCAACAATGGTGGTGGGGGGAGGAGATAAAGATAAAAAAAACTGATTGCAGAAGATGAGGAGGCAAAATTTGAGTGATGAAGATTTGATTTTGGTGATTTTTAAAATCCATCGTTGTGTTTGACGATGATGAAGACGAGTAAGAAAGAAAAAGAATAATTAAAGAAAAAGAATTAAAAGAATTAAAAAAAATTGTTGGAGAAAAAAAAATTTAGATAATTAATAAATAAAAAAATAAAACATGTTAGTGGGTGGGTTTGATCCTGGTTTTATTGTAAATAAAAAGATAGATAAGGAGAGTGAAGGATTTTCCACGTTTTTCCTTATTAAAAGAAAATCAAAATGAAATTCTTTATTAGAGTTATGGATTTTGAGCTTTTTTTTACAAGATTATGGTTTATCAGCCTGCCGCTCCAGTTTCTCCTCCCAGTGACGATCATCGGTTTCATCTCCTCTAGTTATCGGAGGGAATGTTAGTTTTCTGTGTCAAAACGTTAATCTCGTCTTCGCTTCCTCAGAAATCCCAATCTTCGGCTATCTGCTTCTCTTCCAACACAATCTCCCTTCTCTTTAAATCCCGACTTCTGAGCGACTTTAGCTTCAAGCTGAACAGGATTGCGATGGATAACACTCGGGAGTTACAGACAGAGGCGTCTCAGTCGCTATCCTCGTCGGCTTCCGGTGAGATACACGTTTTAGCTGGTCCAATGTTTTCCGGCAAAGCGACAACGATCCTACGGCGGATGCTGGCGGAGAGGAGAACTGGCAGGTTTGTATCTTAAATTCCATTTTAATTTCGAGATGCATTGTCCTCAATTTTGGTTTGTTGTTGATGATTTTAGTCTCGAAATGGAAATCCATACCTTATTTATGAACGCTGAGACATATTTATAATTCTGCTCGAAATTGATTGGTTTATGATCATCTCTTATAGGGTCGTAATTCTGAAACTTGCATTGAGAGATCAAAGTTTGGTTCACATGTAACATGTTCTAGCTTTCAGGTGGAGCATCAGAGAAAGAAAGAGCAGCTGGGCTGTGTGTTACTGGGAGATTGAAAGAAGCTGTTGGGCTATTATGGCTTAGCGGGTCACAAGTCGAGCCTGATACTTATGCTATGCTGTTACAGGAATGCAAACAAAGGAAGGAATATACAAAAGGGAAACGAATACATGCTCAAATGGTTGTTCTAGGATTTGCTCCGAATGAGTATTTGAAAGTTAAGCTGTTGATACTGTACGCTTTATCAGGGGATCTTCAGACAGCTTGGATCCTCTTTCGTAGTTTGCTATTGAGAGATTTGATCCCGTGGAACGCAATGATATCAGGGCATGTGCAAAAGGGTCTTGAGCAAGAAGGGCTTTATATGTATTACGATATGAGACACCACAGAGTAGTTCCGGATCAGTATACCTTTGCTTCAGTGTTTAGAGCGTGTTCTGCGTTGGCATCGCTAGAACACGGTATGAGAGCCCACGCTGTCATGATAAAGAGCCGGATTAAGTCCAACATTATAGTCAATAGTGCGGTTGTTGATATGTACTTCAAATGCAGCAGTGTCTCTGATGGGCACAAAGTATTTGATCAGTTCTCCACCAGAAACGTGATTACGTGGACGTCGTTGATGTCTGGATATGGGTATCATGGACAAGTTTCAGAGGTGTTAAAGTGCTTTGATAAGATGAAGGAAGAAGGTTGTAGACCGAATTCTGTTACATTTTTGGTGGTTCTCACTGCGTGTAGCCATGGAGGTTTAGTTGATGAAGGCAGGGAGTATTTCGATTCTATGAAGAGAGATTACGGGATTGAGCCTGAGGGACAACACTATGCGGCTATGGTTGATATCTTAGGGCGTGCTGGTAGGCAACAAGAAGCGTACGAGTTTGTTATGAAGTCACCGTGCAAGAAACACGCTCCGGTATGGGGTTCTTTACTTGGAGCATGCAGGAATCATGGGAATGTGAAACTGCTAGAGCTCGCTGCTACGAGATACTTCGAGTTGGATCCAACGAACGGAGGGAACTACGTGGTGTTTGGCACTGGATACGCGAGTTGTGGATTATTGGATGCTGCTTCAAAAGTTAGGAGGAGAATGGAGGATGCGGGAGTGAAGAAGGATATCGGGTATAGCCAGATCAAATTACAAGGGGAAGTTCATAGGTTCATGACGGATGATAAGTCTCACAGACTCTCTGGAAAGATATACAAGAAGGTCCAAGAGATGACTTCAGTATTCATGGATGTTGACTGCTATCCTGTTTGATAGATTGGTTTGTCATCTTGTCTTTGACTCTGTGACCAAAGCAACTCGCAGTGTCTCCAACGGATGCTGTAGCAGGCTCTCTCCGGAAAATCTGTCTTGAATCAAACACAAGTTTTGGTTTTGGAGCATTAAGTTTATGCCTTTATGGGTTTAGCAGGAGAATGTGAACATTCTGATACTGACATGTATCTGAAATGGGTGTAGCAGGAGAATTGTGGTCTGAGTTTGGATTCAATAGGAGCACATTCTGATACTGAAATGTGATTGGTATTGATGGAAAACTCAAATTTTAGGCGAATGTAGATGCCTCAGGTTCTCATTAAATCGGGTAAAGTGAAGGTATCCTCTGTATTAGGCTCCGAGAAATCTGTGGGAATGTGATTATGGGTTTAGCTGTGGGAATGTGATTATGTAAAATAACTGAGAATGGTAGTCCGAGTTATATTCAATAGGAGCAAATTCATCTGATAATGGATGTGTTTAGATGTATAATGTAAACTCAATTCTTTAGAATAATACTAAAGAAGCTCTTTATTCTCATTTTAAAACTTAGTGAGGTGGAACTGGGTCAACTCTAATTGAGACTGCAGGTGGTTTAATTTCAAGATTATGTAACTCATCCATTTTTGTTGTTATCGAGTGGGAAGAGCTATTTCCCCACCAATCTCCACGAAAGCAAAGCTTAAAATCTATTTTCCCGTGAAATCGATTTCCCCATGTAATTGAAGTTCGAAATAAAAAATTCCACAAAAATCGGTTTTCAAATGATTTACTGTTTTTTAATTAATTTTTAACCGTATAAAACTGATATTAAAAATATTTCCAAAGGCAACCTTAAATATTCAAATATGAAGTTTTGTTTATTCTAAAAACAGCCTTAAAACCTCAAATTTTGAGGTTTTGAAAATAAAACCTTATACTTGAAATTTCACTATTCAAGATCTCAAATTTGAGGTTTTCAGTTTTTATTTGTATTTTAGTCATCACAATTATATATTTCATAAATATTCATTTTATTTTTTTATGTTTATCATTTTAATCCAAACAATTTTATATCTCACATATATTTTATATTCATTTGTATAAATTCTATATTTGCATATAAAATAAAATTAAAAATACTAATATAAAAGAAATATTACAGATAAAAAAATAAAGAAACTCATTTAACACTTCAAAAAAGCATTGATTGATCATATTTTGAGAGCATTATGAAAATAGTTTTGTTGAATAATTTGGTGTAATGTAATAATTTAAAATTTAGTTTGTGTATTTTAATTATTATGTTTATGTACTTTATCTTATAATGTAATGTTTGTTTTATTATAAAGTCTATAATATAAATTTAGTTAATGATATTTTTAGTGTATGTTTCTTTGTTATTTATAAAGTTATATAATTTTTAATTAATAATAATTAAAATTAAAGAGGGAAAACGACCTATTTCACTCTGATAACTATTACATAGTAACTAATCCCCCCAGAGTTTGGACCTCATCGCATATCTCCCCAATACAAAGTTTGTAAACTTTTTTCTCCTTATTTGCATTTTTCACAACGTATTTAACCAAAACCGTTGAATTCGAGGGTTTGTGAGGTAAACCAGATAGAATACCAGATTTGCTCGATACCAGGATGATTTTAAAACCCGACCAAACTTGTGACCCGACCCAGTTAACATCCGATTCGTAATCATAAAAAACCCGACCAAATGGATATTCCCAGTTCCCAAATCGATATCGACAAACCCTAAATCCCCAAATTCATCCCCAAATCCCCAAAACGCTTCTATTTCCAGGTGTTCTTATATGATTTCGAACTTTCTCAGGTCGATTACATAGGAAAACCGATTTGATAGGTGTTTTTTTGTAGATTGTGATGATGAGCGAAGAATCTGGAGCGAGTGCATCATCAGCTGGTCGAGCAAGAGGAAGATACGTCGGGGTGCCTAAGAGATGTTCGTGTGGGGAAGGAATTGTAGCCAGAATCTCTAAGTCGGACGCAAACCCATATCGGAGATATTACCGTTGTGCATTCGCCGTTGAACAAAAGGTGAATTAGCTTTGATTTCTTTTGCCATTGTCTATTATGCGATTTTGAAGCTAAATTGATTGTCATTGTTTATTATTGCTGTAGCTTGTCAATGACAATCACACTTTCAAGTGGGTTGATGAAGCATTGTTGAATGAAATTGAGGCATCAAAGTTGAGAATAGATAGACTTGAAGGCCACGTTAAAGCAAGTGCAACAGATTGTATGGAGGCTGAGAAGCACATGTATGAGAAGTTACAATTGAAGCTAGAGTCAGAGATTTCTGAACGGGTAGAAGAAAGGATTCTTGAAGCCAAATCGGATATGAAGAAATTGCTGTTGCTTGTGTGTTTTGGAGGTGTGATAATCCTTGGTTGTATTAAACTTGTGTGAAGCTTATTAGTTGTGTCTTTGTAGTTCTGGTAATTGTCTTTGGTATTATGTTTTAAGCTCATTTGGCAAACTTGTTTGAAGCTATTTGTTGGTTTGTTTCTCATGTGGTAATGGTATTTGTTTTAGAGTCACTTGGTGTATTGGTTTGTTTTTTTTTTAACTTGTGTTGATCGTATGATCCCTAAAACTACATTAAATGACTAAACAAAAACATAATCATAAGATAACCATAATATGACATAACATTAAGACAACCTCAATTGTTTATAAACCTAGACATCATGCATAGCCACAGACCACAACAGATCCGAAAAATAGATGCCAAAGAAAGAAGGTTTTATAACAGGTTCCAAAACACACACAAAACAGGTCGAAAAATCAAAGAAAACACAACCGCATAAACATCTTCATTCCCCAAGCTGAGTAAGTACTCCTTGTGAACATTCAGGCTGAGATGATGATTCACCTTGAGAAGCCTGTAAAATCAAAGAAAAAGTGACATTAGTATATAGAGAAGATGAGAGATTAGTATCCAAAAACACACAAAGAAGAGAACAAACCAATGTTTTCTTTTTATGAAACCGTGAATTGTGATTAGCGGCTCCACAAACTTTACAATGCATGACTCTTTTCAGCAATTTGTCTTTCTTCTTCACCAGAGATTCATTCTGCCATTTTCTTTCTTTTTTTATCCGCCTTAGTAACCTTATTCCGACCAGGCATATCTGGCACCACAGGTTGAACAATGGACGGTTCTTCTCCAACAGGCCAAAAACGAGCACCTCTAACTGGAATAACACCATCTGTGTAAGTATCTCTCCACATCTCAGTCCTAAACCAATGGCAAACGTAATGCTGAGCTTCAATACCCTTCTTGATCATCACACCGTATGCATGTTCACAGGGGATCCCAGTGATTTGCCATCTTCTGCAGCTACAGGTCCTCGCCGTCAAGTCAACTCGATAAGCACACCCGTGAAGTCTTAAATAATATTGCATGTTGGTAGAGGGTTGGACAATGCATTTCGAAGCATCCTCAAGCAACTCAGCTAGGTACTTACTCACATATGAAGTACAAATCCCTTGGTGGTTAATAGCTTTGGCACTTCTCTTGGCTATACGAACCATTGCTAGTTTGGCAATGGTCTCTAGCATCGGCACTAAAGCTTTATCTCTAGCTTTACCTGAAACAACAATGAAACACAACTATTAAAAAACATTCAGGTATAAACAT